TATGTATTTTTTCCTCAATATAGTCATGAAGTAGTAATTAATTTTTGCAATTTTGCCAGTTATTTCAATTTACCTGCTAATCATAGCCAATCAATAGACAATTTTCATAATAACCATCAACATTAAGGAGTTTTAATATAATTTTCTTCTATACAGTTATTCTTTTTGCCAATCATTTGAGAGTTAAGATAATTGTTGATCACATAGGTACAGGTAGGTAATAATATTATATTTTAAATTAAAGTTGTGATTATTAGGAGATTATAAATAATGACCGAATTAGGCGTGGATCTGTCGTGGTCTTCAGAACAAAAAAACTTTTGAATCAATTATGGAACTTTCCGAAAATGTGTTGCTTTGTTCAGGAAGTATCAAGAGCATAGAAAATCTTTTAGAGTTTTCTGCCTAAAAACTTTGTCTTAAATCAACGTGTCCAAATACATGTTTTATGAGGGCATTTTAAATGCTTTACGCTGCGATACATAAGTAACACCAATGTAATATTTTCGTTGATTTTTTTGCTTTGTCGCATCACTTTGGGTTCGAACATTATAAATAATGGAGACTTTTCGATATTGCCTGTAAAATAATATGCGTTTATGCGAAAAGTAGCGTTGTTGTTTTCTTCACCACTGCCCAGACCGAATTCCCAAGAAAATCAACCATCTTTCAATGAGTGAAAATTCGTCGAAAACCGAATTTCCCCAAAAAACACCGCTAAGAAAAGTTCTTAGTAAAGGGATTATCTGTAAGTTGAGCATACTGTTAACTTCAAAGGCCGGGGCCTGATTCGCTAGAAAATGACCCAGCTGAGTAAGAAACCGCACACCTGTGAGCACGAGACTTGGTTAGATTCATTAAAACCTTTTTTACCTTAAACGAAATGTGGAAATTGCTGAAAATCCATTCAGTTGATATCATCATCATCATCATAGGAAAACTAGATGACTCAACGAACGGCGCAATAATTTAATCTGAGGGTTTGAGGTTGATATTGCAAAATCGATATTACTGCGACCAATTTCCCAAAAGGCAACTGGGCGTTTTTCAAGTACATATTCTATAAAGGCCTTGTATATATGAAGCAATTAGGATCATTAAACCTCATTGGGGCGACCTTATTTCCAAACAAAACGCAATATTATATGTTTACGCACCTTTATCAGGGACACACCTAACCCATTAAATACATTGATCTCTGAGCCAGCTGGCAATAACTGTCTCACAGCACCACAACACTTTTACACACGAAATTGTTAACTGATAATAACCAAACTCAACGAAGTTCCCAAAGAACACACTCACTAACAGCAATTTTATTTCACTGACTGGTTTTCCTCATCGCAGTGATCGTCATAAAGTAATTTTAGGCGGCTAGAAAACGGTCAAGGCCGGCGCCTTCGGATCGTGCACACTGGGGGAACTTGTGCAGAAACCCCCTTTTTGCTTTTGTTTGGTCTGCAGACTTTGCCAACTCGATATGTTTCAAATAGAAGCAAAAAACAGATTCTTGATACATAGAGGGCCCCAGGATGGCTACATAAAGAACTCTTCATAAACATAGTTTATTCCGAATTATGAAAGGCGTTTAAAGAAAGTTAGTAAAACCGGGCCCCAATCAAATGGCTTCATTTTTGAAGATGATCCCACAGAAAAAGCCTAATAGGTATTCGAAGGTATAACGTTCCTGGTTTTATATGAAAATACCTTCACCTATCTACAGGAATGAAAAAACAAATCAACCTGATTAATATGCTTATTCATATATTGCCCATTATCAACTGTTTAAATTGAATACATTCATTGTCTACATATACATATTAAAACTACAGCATCAAGCAAATTGACTGGAATGCTTGCAATAAAAACTAGATTGATGGTTCGTGAACATATTTCCTGATGCTTCCAAACAATTCACTTTTCCAACTGCGGTTGAGACAATAAGTTGCTCATCAAATCGAATTAATGTTATCTGGTGCATCGAAAATACGTCTTTAACACCTGTGCTTAAAATTAATAAATGCCAATTGTATAAAACTTCTTCTCATACACCTAAAGATATAATATTCATACTTATTTTAACTTAAAGCTATGGAGACTGATCGAGGGATTTAAACAACCCAACTCAAGCATTCGAGCATTTTTGCTTCGATGCATGCAGTTATATTTTTCTTAAACTGCGGCAAGCATTAGCCATTTTCCAAGTTAGCTAAACATTCAAGCGTTATTAACCGGTAACAAAGATCAAAGACCAAAATCTGCATTAATTAAAAAACTATAATTGCACTATGTTGGATAAAAGTTTGCAAGGAAAATAACTGAATTAAATAAAGTAGCACCGAACATTTACATACCATATAAATTAGTAACATTTTTGTATATTAAACTACACATACAGGGATAACACTTAATAACAACAATACTAACAATATAAGCTGAAAATGCGAGCAGTTATCGGGGAATTCAGATCATCTGTAAAGAAGATCGTTTATAATAAGATTTTCTTCAATTCCCCTATTACATAAAGATGCATTTGTAACTGTTGCAACATTTTCTGGCTTACAAGAACAATAATAAAACTTAAATAACACAACAATCGAGTTTCTCCCAAGGAAAGATAAATATGAATCATCACGATCTTTAACAAGCACTTTTACCTAGAGACTGGTAATACCCGGCCAGGACACTCCAGGCTTTTGGGGCCATAAACCCGGCCGGTGGAATCTCGCCGTTTCTAGCCAGCGACCTCATTCTAGTGCCCGAGATAAAATCGAAGTCATCTTTTCTGGCCGGATCAAAAAAATTCATCTGCTTGCTTCTTTGATCGTATGCCGCTACCCTGAACGGAATGATTTCCAAGTCAGTCAGCCCTGCGAGTAATATAAATTGCTTTGATTCCAACTATTTGCTCTTTAATGCTGAGCGAACGGAAGACACACTCGACTGTCTATATTCTATATTAAATTTAACATACCTGGAGCCATGCGTAAAACTCTTCCACCATGAGTGCTTTCGAAGAGATTTCCATCACTCGAAGCTTCTTTCCCCGCAGGGTGGCCAATGCCAGCAGGATCTCTTCCCACAATGTAGAAGTTCGCACCTAATTACGAATGAAACACAATTACGAATGAAACCCGCTGTGTGCATGTGTTTCAAAATATTCAAACTACCAACCAGCATTCATTCTGGCTTTAGCATGCCATTGTACTTCGGTAGGGCCTGCATACATCATCGGGCTGGGAAAAATTGCCAATACGGTGGATTCTTTGTCAATCAAACCGTCCTCCATAACAGCCTCATGTTGGCGAATTCTTACCGGCAATGGAACGTCGTCATCTTTTATCCAACCTCCTAAAAATTGATGGACATTGAAATGGTTTTCAACCAAATTCCACAGATTTTTACATTGCGGTTTTATTTCCAAAAAATTTGCCGTGTAGAAAGGTTTATGCACCTTTACCGTAAACATTTCACCTTAAGCATCAACCATTTTCGTTGCTGTATTAAGGAAGATAGTCGATAAGAACAGAAACATTTTTTTACCAAGGATCGAACGGAATGAT